CTTAGATAACAATCTTCTACATTTCAGTCACTAAGTAAACTTTAAAAAGCCTGACCCTCTTTTGTCCCATGAAATCTGATATACCTATCACCCTCAAGGGACATCTGGGATTCATCTTATCTTTTCCACTGGATTGTTGATTAATACAAATTGTTTTGAATGGAATTCCAACATGGCAAAACTCCATGGACTTTATGACTTAAATATAGGATAAAATAGGAGGTCAAGTTAAAAAAAAAAATTGATGTGAGGAAGAAGAAAATGAACCCATAATAATATGGCTTGGTGCCAGCATTAGGTGCCTAAGAGATGAGGATGAAACTCCTGTGTTTATTTTAAAATGAATTTCATACATCAAAGGGGTTTTTGATCACCTTTAAAATGATACATATTTTCATTGCAGTAGAGGAAATCGTGATCTGACAGGACGCATGGAGATTATAGGTATCCATCACAGGCTCAGTGTTTCAGCAGTATCTCTTGATTGTTCACAAGCTAAAGGTCATGAAAGAGCCATGTAGGACTCACAGAGTTAAAGGAGGAAAAGTTGTTTCCTATTCACTGGAATTTTTCTTCCCTAAAAAGTCTTAATGAATAGGAATTATGAAGATAAATGGACTTAGATAAGACTTTCAAGTTTAGTGGTTCTTTCTGATTCTTCCAGGGAGTGCAATGGTAGCAGTTCCTTGTATCTGCAAGGGCCCACAGATAATTTCCAAAAGAAAACAAAACTGGTAAGATGTGAATATAGCACCAAAACTGTAGTAACCTGAAGCAGGACTGTAGAACTTTTGTGGCCAGATACCAGGGCTGCCACATGCTCCAAGTCAAACACAGGCATACAGATGGGGTTAGCAAAATACCTCACAGAACTATGTAATTAATGCATAGATGTGCTACCTTGGGTTCACTGCTACACTGACTTGGCCCATGACTTCTGGCTGTCTCAAAGTGTCTGTCAATCTGTTGTGCAGATGGACAAGCTGCACACTGTTACATAGCTTCCAGAATCTGGCCCTTAGCTGAAGGAACACGCAACTTCTCTCAGGCCAGTGAAGCAGTGCTTGCTGGCAGATGTAGAGGATAATATTCAGACCACTAATTTTCTTAAAACTGTCAATTTTGGTATTAAAAAAGTATTGTACAGGTTATGTGTGTAGATGCAAGATGTGCTTTCTTAACTAGATTGAAAGATCCTTCCTGAGGAAAAGGGATCTCCAAGGCCTTCAGGTGCATTTAGGATTCAGGATTTCAGCTAGAGAAAAGTAGTGTGCCAGGCTGTAACCTTTTTTCACATCTGCACGCCAATATAAGTATGCATATCTATGTTTCTGACTGCTTGCAGGTATTCTTTGAATTGCTTCCCGTTTCACACGAAAACTTTTTTAAACATAAGTTCATTGTTTTATTTTGATTACAATGTCAAAGACTGGAGGTATTTGACATCCATCCTGGTCACCTGCCGTGTCCTGAAAGCTTGTTATGTTGACTGTACGTTTTTTATTTCTTTGATTTAAAAGTAAAATTCAACACAACATAGTATTGAGTACTGTACAAAGTAGGATTATAAACTTTGTATGTTGTGTGCTTTACTGAGCCTTTCTCTCTTTGTAAAAATAAAGCTGTTGCAAGCCAGAAAGTTCCAAAGGTAGAGCCAAGCTTAAACCAAACAAAAAAGTTGTCTTGAATCTCCACAACAAGCCTTCGCCAAAAAATAGACCTGATTGTACTCATTTACAGACAGACAAATTCAGAGAAGAGTATGCACCAGAAGACTTTGTGGCAGGAAATAAGGCCACAGTGTTCATTTTTGCTCTTTGTTTGAAAATAGAGCTAAACCAGATCTCGGGTCAAACTGTAACTGTATAGTTGTTCATACTCTGTGTAAGGGCAGAACATAAAGACCACTTTTTCTCTAATTAACCAGCTATAGAGAAATAATGAATTTCCCATATATTTGTCTGCTCCCTTCACTGTCCAAACTTTGTCCTATATCAACAGTTTGCCCAGATCACAAAAAGGCCCTGATTGCCTCTCAGTTTTTCTCAAGATTTTAAAATCAAATTGAAATACTTCCAACATTTTCTTTGATCAACCATAATATATTATTAGAAAAGCCTTCTGCTGTGTAAGTCTTCCAGCTGTAAAATACCAGTTACAAACTTGAACTTTCAACCTCCACTTTCAGAAAGGAAGAATGAGCTCTGTGTGTTTGCTCTTTTGTTCGTATTTTTCTGGAGCTAGATTTAACTGAAAATCCTTTTTTCTCTTATGTCTTAATCCATTGAACCTCTTGTAACAGGAAGACTATTGCCTTATACTTATGTCTTAGTTTAATGACAATATGTTCAGGAGGTGAGACCTCTAATGAGATGAACTCCCTTTTTTTTTATAAATTTCCTTCTGCCCCAGTAGAGACAAGGTACAAATTACAAGGAGTCTGAGTGAAGAAAGAAAAATAACAATTTTTGTTATTTTTGTACTAAAAACTGAAAGAAACAAATAAATAACAATAGCAGAAAATATTACCTAGCTAACTTCCTCCCCTCTAAGTTAAACCAAAACCTGGAAGGATATTTCATACAAAAGAAAATCCTATGCGTCCAAGGTGATGACGTAGGTTCCGATGTAGCAAAGTATATGGAGTGACAATGGCAGGGCAGGGCTGACCAGGTGCGCTGCTTGGACCCGGTGATTTCGGGCCACGCGGTGGCAGATTTTTGTGCAGGTCCTGAGAGGGGAACCCCTGAGTTGTTGGCGGTGGCTAGTCACGCCAGGACAGCTCAGCTGGGGCCAGGATGACCTTCGTCTGATGCGAAATACAGCTGCAGCTGAGGCAGAAAATGCCACAGGTCAGGCAGGGTGGTCCCCAGGAAAAGGCTCCAAGAATCCATGGTGCTCCAGCGAGCAAAAACCAGGTACAAAGAGAGTGAGCCATTCCACACCTGCTTTTTTGTCTCCTGTCTCCCAAGTTCCCAGGATGCTTCACTCGAGGGACCCACCTTTCCAAGATGCTTGGGACAGTCCTCCCCAATCCAGCTCAGACAGGGGGCAGTCCCCCACATTCCAGATTATGTGATGGTATGAAAAAATTCGCTAAAAATCCTTCCTATTTAACTAAAGCTACAACAACTTAGATAGCAGAACTTTTGCCTGGGGTTTAACCCTTCACTTTTGGGCTGAATTAGACTCAAATACAAAGTCAATTAGTTGAAAATTTGCTCACTCAGTACAAAGCAATTTAGATGATGATTTCTGGCTAAGGCCATGGCTTGTATGTGTGGATAGATCATGACAAGAAATGTTTGGAGTGGTGTGATCCAAGATTATTCAACATTGAAAGAAAATGGCCATAACCACATAGCAACAGTGAAAGAGAGGCCAGAATGGCTAAACTTGTTAAGCCAAGGGCTTACAAATGACAAATTTCTAGCCAAGATTGTACTAACTTCCTTTTAGTGGAGACTTGTTTTTTAGACAAGTTTTATTTTAGATCTTAATACTAAAAACCAATCCTTTAATGTCAGAAAGTGACATGCAGCTTCCATGTCTTTCATATTGAAAGCTGTAACAACCTGCCCTTTTTAAAATATGCAGAAAAGTGTTAGAAAATGAAGATGTGAGAAACTTAGGTGATCATTTAAACCTAAGAAGATGTATTTTTCCTCAACAGCAATAAGACTTTCCTAGCTGGGAAGATAAGGAGTCTGTGAATAAGGTTGTCATTAATGATACTCTAATAGGATGAAATGGTTTGAGGGCAAAAAGAATACAGACATCTTATAAGGATATTATCTACTTATGTGGTTGTGTATACATCAAAATCCTTTCCTACCAAGACTATAATCAACATGTTGTATTTCTCAAGCAAAGGGTGTAAAAAGTGATCATTTTATCTGGTGTTTTACCAGATATCATCGAGGACCAGTTCTTCTTACGGCAGTAAGGTAGAGGACTGTGGCTTAATAATCTGAAGCAGTCATATTGCCAACATTTGCTCTGTTTTTGCCTCAGCTCTCATGATGTTTAAAGTTTTTCCTAAAGCTTAGTTCCTGTATTCCTGTAATTATGTGAGAAATTCGGGTTATTTCTAAAAAACTCAGTGAATTTCTAGCCTTAAGGTTGCTTGCACAGGAAGACTTGAAATATTATTCTTCAAGAATCGAACACTGGAAAGGAAATAAAAGGAACTCATGTTTATTTTGCCTAAAGACTCATGATTTTGAAGCTGTCTCGTGTTTTTCAGTGCTAAATGGTAGCAAGAAAGTATATGGGGGTAAGGAGAGCCTCATATTCTCAGTTACAAGGGACTTTAAATAGTATCAATGGTCTTTGATTTTTATATCAGGTATACTGGGTTCAGGATTAGGGTTATGTCTTACGAATCTCCCAAAGGATTAAAAAAGGGACTTTCCTAAGGTTTTCTCAGTAAAATAATATTAAGTCCCTAATTATGTGAGTTATGAAATCTTAGGTTAAAGAAATGCAAATATGTATCAAATTTTTCTTGTTGTCGTACCAAGTGATTTAAGTCACTGAGGCAAAAAAAAAAAGGCTAGTGAGGAGAGCTTAGATAAAGAAACAGATAAATTGTGTAGTTCTTTTTTCTTTCTCTACAAACAAAGAGGAAAATCTGGCCAGAAAAGAGTGGCTGTACACACACACTTCTCCATGTATGTGCACAAGTGGAATGAGATCTGGCAAGAGCATTGTGACCCTCTTTTGCTTAACAATAGGGCTGTGGTACAATGCACGTACAGTGCACTTGTTATTTCCCATTGACACATGGTCTTATGTTCTTTCAATACTTTTGCAATAAGAAGAAAGAAGAGTATAATTATCCAGTTGAATTATGTGTAGATGTAACTATTTCAATCACTCTTCTTTGTCTAAACAGAAACTCGCTGTATCTGGCAGCTGTGGAGCCCAGTGTGTTGCATGATACTGGAAGTGGCTGTCCTGAATAGACTTGCTGATCTTCTCTTCTCTCTTTTCTGCAGGATTGTCCACCAGAAGCAGGTGATTTCCGTGCTCAGCAGTGCTCTGCTCACAACGACGTCAAATATCAGGGACAGTTTTATGAGTGGCTTCCTGTGTCTAATGACCCTGACAACCCATGCTCACTGAAGTGCCAGGCCAGAGGAATGGCTCTTGTTGTGGAGCTGGCACCAAAGGTTCTGGATGGGACCCGGTGCTACACTGAATCCCTGGACATGTGCATCAGTGGCTTGTGCCAAGTAAGGAGAGAAGCCCTTCCCTAACATCTGACTACTTTCCTCAGATCTCTCTCACATGGCTCACTCCCTCTCCTCCATATTTGTATCATTTTAGGGACTTGGTTTTAATCATCTGTTTCCATTCTCTTAAACTGATTTCCTGTACGCTTTTTTCGGTCAAGGTGTACAATTCCAAACATTATTTTCACACTTTATGTTGTTTCCTTAGGGTTCTTTTGAAGGATTGTGTTATCAGTTTTTGAACTCTATTGTATAGTTAGCTGCAGTAGCAGATCTGATTTGAAGCACCAAAAGAAAATAATGATGTAGCTTTTAATCTGGATACACCAAAGTTTTTCAAGTCTATCCAGTTACATTATCCTTGAGGATTATTGCTCCCTGTGAGTCACAAACTACATGGCAGTAGATGGGGTACTAAAGTAAAAAAACTGCCACTCCTGTAAGACTAAGCAAGCTGCTACATCTCCTTGGACCTCAGCATCCCCGTTTGTTAAAAGTGGGAGATGGGGACTTTCTCACCCTTCACTTCACGGTGCATGGAGATCTATTGGTCATTCGACCAATTTATTCACATCCTAATGTGTTTTTATATTATGTTTGTGCTTTTATTTATATATTGCAACTGTTTTGAACCTACCTACATCAGACTTTAGTCTTCTGAACTACATGTATGCTACAGGCTGATGCAGGGGAGGACTTTCATGCCATCTCTGTTAATTACTGAACACACCTAAATCTCGAAAACAGTTGAGTGTAAATTCATGGTCCCGTGCCCAGTCTCTTTCAAATCTGTGTAGACTTGATGTGTTGTTGGCTTTCTAGTGAATTTTGAGCCACTTCATATTCCTCTAGAAGCTTTTCTTCCTGTTTCATTTCTCTCTGATTTTCTGTTCTGAGCCAGAAGCAGTCCTGCAGCTACTAGGCTAATCTCATTTGTGATCTAGAAAAGGCAATCACCTAGACCTCTTGATTTCAGCTGAGTGCACGTTTCTCAAAATTCTAGCTTGCCTAATGAGACAGACTAATTTCAGTCTTATTTTGAGCTTTTAAATATTTTAAAATCTTAACCAGAAGCATAGGAATCTGGATGGAAAAAAAAGATTCAAAATTTTTTGCATATAATGGCCTAGAAATTAGAAACAGAATTCGACCTCTGTCAGGCTGATTTCTGTTTTGATCCAAATATGAAGCGTACTTTTTTCAAGAAAACCTTCCCTTAGAGTTCATAATCATCCACTACTGAAACAAACTCATTTGATTTACTATGACAATTCTTACTTCTTGGAAGGTTGAAGTTAGCTGCACTGTTATAACTAATGTTATTTCTTAATTGTCTCTGTGGCTGGAGAACAGAAAAATTAGCACTAGTGTCCCTGAAGAATTTCACTTAAACCAAGGCTTTCATTATATACCATAAAGTGGTAGAATAATTTTAATGCATTAACACGACTATATATTTTCCATGTTCTTCAGCATTCAATTTCTTTATCAACTTTTGCCATATATTTACAACTACTGCATCATTTTTTAGGATGACCCAAAAAATTAAAATATAAATGCTCATGCTGTATTCCTTACAGTGCAAAATTTTGTATTTTGGTGCATGTTAAATTTAAAGCAATTCAAATTGTTCTTGTCTCAGTGTATCCCTGTTTACCAGCCATCTCTTCATGACAGCAGAGGTGCTGCATTAGAAACTCCGTAACTAGATTTGCCCTACCTATATGCTTTAGGACAGCAACTGCTTTACTATCTATCATCACAATAGCTAATACTACATAAGCAGTCCATAAAGGTAAACTGTATGGAATTTGCCATAATAAATGGTGAACCCTCCTTAAAAGCAATCGTCTTCCATGGTCTTCTATAAAAGTTCTTTTAAAAGAATGGGAAACTCCAGTGTTATGGAAGAACAAGGGGAGAATTCTTCATCTGTAACTTTTGTTTGAATAAACTTACTTCTATAATGGTGAATGCATGTGAACTTCAGAGAAGAAAAAATATTATGTTAGAAATTATTCATTTGCAATAGTAGCTGCAAGCTACTACTTACCTAAGAATGTTGACACACTGTAAACATAACAGTCACATATCTCAGTAATTTGTGAGAGTTCATATGATCCTGGGAGTTCAGCAACATTTGGGGCAGCGCAGCAGACAACTGTAATAATATGAAGGCATGGTTTGTCACAACTTCAAAAAATGAAATCTCCTAGGGCGTATATTTGGTGTAAAGATCTGAAGATTAAAAAGTGAAATATGTTTCTTCTGTAGTTTAAGTTTTAAGGGCAAGTGCCAGATTCTGCACCTGAGACGGTGCAACCCAGGATGTACATACAAGGTGGGGAATGAGATGCTGGAAAGCAGGCTGTGGAAAGAGACCTGGGGATCCTGGTTGATGGCAAGTTGAATATGAGTCAGCAGTGCCCTGGCAGCCAGGAGAGCCAACCGTGTCCTGGGGTGCATCAGGCAAAGCATCACCAGCTGGTCGAGGGAGGGGATTGTTCCGCTCTGCTCTGCACTGGTGAGGCCTCACCTTGAATATTGTGTGCAGTTTTGGGCACAGCAATGTAGGAAAGATATTAAGCTCTTAGAGTGTCCGAAGGAGGGCAACGAAGCTGGTGAAGGGCCTTGAGGGGAAGCCATATGAGGAGCGACTGAGGTCACTTGGTGTGTTCAGCCTGGAGAAGAGGAGACTGAGGGGAGACCTCACTGCAGTCTACAAGTTCCTTGTGAGGGGAAGCAGAGGGGCAGGCTGTGGTGGGTCTGGCTGAGCCGGAATTTATTTCCCCATAGTAGCCCTCACAGTGCCATGCTCGGCATTGGTAGCTAGAGGAGTGTTGTAACACACCCATGTTTTGGCTGCTGCTGAGTACAGCACTGTAACATTCCTTCTTCAATGGGAGGGGACACAAGTAGGCCAGCTGACCCGCACTGACCAAGGGGATATTCCATACCATATGATGTCAACTCAGATATAAAAGCTGAGGCAAGGAGCAGGACCGGAGGCACTCATTGTCTCTGATGGCTGCCTGCTGTGCTGGAGCCCTGCTTCTCAGAGAAGTGGCCAACCATCGCTGCTTATGGGAAGTAGAGATTAACTGCGAGCTTCTGCTTTGTGCACACACACGCTGCTTTTGCTTTCTTTTTTGCATAAATATAAACTGCCTTATCGCAAGCCACGCTTTGTGTTGTTTTCTTTTCCTACCTTACTCTCTCCCCTGTCTGGCTGGGAAAGAGAGGGATAGAGTGGCTGGGTGGGCACCTAGTGTTCAGCCAGGGTGAACCCACCACACAGGCACTGATCTCTTCTCTGTGGTGACCAGTGACAGAAAACAAGGAAACAGTGTGAAGTTGAGTCAGGGAGGTTTAGGTTGGATATCAAGAAAACGTTTTTCAACCAGGGTGTGGCTGAGCATTTGAACGGGCTCCCCAGGGAAGTGGCCACAGCACCAAGTCTGACAAAGTTTAAGATGCTTTTGAACAATGCTCTAAGACACGTGGTGTGACTCTTGGGGTGCCCTGCACAGGGCCAGCAGTTGGACTTGATGATCCTTGTGGGTCTCTTCCAACTCAGCATATTCTGTGATTCTATGACAAAAGGTTCTTTGCAGTAATTGTGCTACGTTGGAAATAAAGAGATATATTTTCTGAATTGCTCAGAATAAAACCACTGAAAGCATCTTTAAGTTTACCATCCTATTGGCTTACATTGATCCAAATGTTATGGCAACAAAGAAGGAATTAAATGTTGTTCAGATAGAGCATTTTATGAAACATATAATTATGTCTATTCAGTTACAGTCTATACAAGAATTAGTTGCAACTGGACTTGTCTATCTCTATCTTGTATTGGCCTCTTTAGCCACCACCATTCTTGTAGCAAATGTGGGTAGAGCCCTTCCCAAATCTTCGTTCGCGAAGCCTAGCCGTGAATGAATGAATGAATACAAGAATTAGTAAGAGTTAAGATCAGTATATTGATGCCTGCTCTGCTGGTGCTAAGAAAAATCTAGGAGCCGTTTAGCTGGGGTGAGATAAGAAAGGGTTTAATTATGCCAAGGCAAAGAGATGTTATACGACGCGCCCGCCGGGCTGTGCCCGGGATGTTACATTTTATAACAATATCTGGCCAATCCCAAGTGTGTCCACCCTACAACTTTTGGCCTGGTCCACCCCCTGGCCCGCCTCCTGGAATTGGGTCGGGGGGCTTTTTGGGACCCCCTCTTCATCATTCTTCATCATCTTCGGGGTACAGAGAGCAGAGTCACCCAGTTCCTTGACTCTGTCCTGCGGTTTAGGCCAAGATACAAGCGTTCTCCAAACAAGACAGGCTTGCCTTGACTAAGAGACTAAACATTTTCTACTGGATATGGGAATAGGGTTAGAGGATTAAGGAATGTATAAACTAAGGGGTGCTACAGGGAGGAGGGAGAAAGGGGTTTGTTTCTAAAATCTACTTCTATTACCTATAAAACTTGTAAGGCTTACAAAATTAGAAAAATAAAAAAACATTAGGGGCTTAAGGCATCAATATGCTTACATAGACATAGAGTATTTTTCCCGGTGGGTCAAACAACACTGTCAATTTCTTAACTAACCACAGGGATATAGTTCTTAGTATGCAAGATTTGGGTCAGCCCATGGCCTATTGTGTGCTCACAAGCTGTTCTTCAGGCTATTAATGGCAGAAATGAAGGGTTAGTTCTATTGCCTTCTGTGTGCCTTGGTGCTCACTCCTGATTTAAAGGTGATGGTTTTAACTGTCATTGGTAAGTACACATTTGTTAAAGAGGTGCAGTATTTCGAAATTAGAAGATCCCTCTCTCATTTTTTTCCCTTCATTTTTCATATTGTTTGAAGATTTAGAATTACCAGTACCTTAGTGAAATATTTATGAGTTTTTGTTTAATTATTACTTTTTGAGCTGAAGACTTCGTTTTGCATACTGGCCACCTGTTAGTTAAAGTCAGAAGAGACTTCTGATTGTAAGCAGGGCA